ATACAACTGACAAGATTACCTTTCAAATTATAAACAGACTCGATCCCAAGCGGTCTTTTGATCGTCGGACATACAAAAGAAATGAACAGATGACGCCTAACTTAAGCGCGGTTTACAATAACGAATATGATTAATCTTAACACTCTACTATGTCATCCAAACGAAGAACTGATTCTTCTGCATCAAATAAGAAAAGAAAAACTTTATCTTTGGAATGTAAAGCTAACATTATTAAAGACTTGTATAATAATATAATTTGTTATACGTATGTATTATCTAAGATTTTATTAAACATTTTTTTTCTAAATTATTGTTTTCTTTTTGTCCGGTCCCAATTAAAAATAATTTGTATGTGTTTATATGCAAAATTATACCCCGACTTACGCGGTTATCGCGTAAGTCCGGGGTATGACTGTAACTCCTTATGATAATGATAAAAATGTCTTTTGCTATCTTAGTTTTGCTGACCTGAAATTTTTCTTTGGTGGTTGATATTTTTAACTGAATTTCTTACATTTTTGTGAAAATGTTACCTAATATTTAAAAGTTGACATGCGAATGTGAAAATTCACTTGTATACATTATGGATATTTTGTTTTGATATTTTTCGCGACCTACAAATTTGCCCAAAGATAATTGGTTTTTATTTATTGAAAAATATTTAGTAAGTTTTATATTTGCTATTTTTACAAATAATAATGCACACAGTAATAATTTTTATTATTATTTCGTAACGTTTTAACTGTGGCGCGTTCATTTATTAAAATTTTATTTATTTTTTATTATTTATTTATTTTTTAATTTTCATTATCTATTATTTAACTATGTTACAAGTAACGACTTTTATAACTAGAAATTAAATTTACAATATTGCTTAGTATTTTAGTCCGTTGTCCTTATATATATATAAGTCATATGTTATGTTGTATTTCAAGTAGTTTTTTTTTTCTTTAGCAGTTCCCAAAATGTCATAGGTTTCTTTCGTGACGAAACTCACGAAAGTTAATGATCAATTAAATTTATGTTTGCCTGGTTTGTTGAATTGTTTTGAAAAATCGATTGGAAGTAACAAACAATATACAGCATAATAGACATCATATGAACTTTTTATAGTGAAATTGATAATTAAATTGGACATTTTATAAACACAACTGTAGGTCTGAAAGTAAAAATGATCGTATTTTCGGTCGAAAACTTTGACGTAATTTTAGAATTTATAGGTGAAAAATTCGAAATATGATTTTGTAAACAACTATACAATTACGCTTCAAAGAGAAGTATATTGCACCATTAATTGAACCATGGAAGAACGAAACGAAGTGGAAACAGTCGTGACAGTTGGTGTAGTTTAATCGGTCTCGAAACATATAAAAAAAGTAGAAATCGTGAATCAGAATGGGTAACAAAAATACATGCTGGAAATGGTTACATCAGACCAATGAACTCTCGACCAGTAGAAAGGATGAATGAATCCTGCAGAGAATTCCAACCTCATTGAAGAAAATGCATTTCTTTAATTAGACCTTTATCGTTAGAACAATAAATTCTATTTTCGTGCTATTTAATGAATAAATACTCCTTCCGAAGCGTTTAATTTGTTTTGTTGTAAATGAGATTTCGAAGCGAAGTTAGATTTTAATAGCCGATTTCCAGTTAGATAACAAGAACTCTTGTTTAACTAAGAGTTGATTTTGATAAATGGAGTAAAAAAGTCGAATTCCCCGGTCATCCCGCTCATCCCTCTTTGTTTTCGAAATTGCTGCTGCTATTGCTTGATGCCAGTAATAAACATTCAAAAAGTGAATTTATCTAGCGAACGTCAGTGTCTAATGAAGGTGAGTCATTGTGAACAGGATGTTCAGTCGTCGAGCGATCAACCCAGACGATTCCTCCACTTGGTACGACTGGACGCAACCATTATCAGTGTTGCATTCTAAATACGTAGTACAGTCACTCAACTCTACTCATAAACGACGCGGTAGACAGATACTGACTCCTTTCGCTTTTAAGCAATCGATTTTTCTGTTATACACGTGATTTCGAGTCAGCTGTGTTAGAGAATAACGGTCGATGTTTGCTACGTTAATAATATTGTTACAGTCTTTTTTCCCTTCTTTTTGATGTGGCAATATTAAAAACATTCAGTTCTAGCTGTCATGGTATTTTCTTATATATTTGGCATGTTGAACTGTCCACTTACGTTTGTATTAAAAGAAGAAAAAGAAATTTGTTCTGAAGGAGCATATCAGTTTTTGTCATCTGGCTCGTCTGACTCATCTCAATCATTTCATTTTGTGACTCCTTTTACGTTTCTTCTCTATTTATTTCTTATAAAAATTATTAATAATATCCTATTATTTTATACTTAAAACATCGACGCAATTTTCTAAATTATCTGTCTCGATGAAATAGAAATTCTTGTATTAAAATAAAATTTATGGCTTTTTGGAAAAAAAATGGAAGTTATATAAATGGCATAAAATTGCAATATGATATTAAACTTTTTTTTATTGAAATGATTGCATATATATGGTAGATCGTCATGCTATTGATGTATTAAGATAAAATTCCAGTGGCTTGTTTTCTACCATGTTAATAATACAAAAGACACCATCTCATCCATAAAATGATTACTATTTCGTGTTATGTCAACTGAAATAATAGTATAGCAAGTTAAGATGATAGAACATGCATCCTTATTAACAACCATATCTTCCAATCTTTGAATTGACATTGATCAAAGAAAGAAAGAAAAAGAATCAATATGGCGACATCCTGTTCTGAGAAAAAGCAGTTGCAAAAAGATCAGCCATATAAGATAGCCCTACAAATTAACTGATACGGTCGATAAACTAATTGTACTATAAGGATGATACATGTAATGAAGAATTTTGTTAATCTGCATGAAAATCTAATAATTTATTTTTTGTGCGTAAAAATGCTAAGCTAAAATTAATAATTCTAGAAAATTTATATTATAAAAACGATGATAGCTTTAATTTTTGTATAGTAATTTTTTTTTATTTCTTGAATTTATTTCAAACGTATAAGTTGTTTTGTTTTATGAAATGTATTCTGACCAGTTTCAGCACTGTTTAATTATAGAAACAAGCTACAAAGCATCCTAATCAGAGTTAGGAAGAAAATCATTTTATCGCTGTTGTGATCAGATAAATGGATAGATCCAGTCATTCTTCTAGTCAGGAAGTGTCACCTAATTATCTTCTGTCTCTAGTGAATTTCAGATTACTGTTTCCCGATTGAAGTTTATTCCCCGAATAGATCTTCTCTTTCCTGGATATAAAAATTTCTTTAAGAAACAAAACTAAAAGCGTCATCTGTAAGTCATTTTGCAACATCTCATTTATATGATATATAAATGTAAATATTAAAGGTTGATATGAATCATTTGGGACATTACGGCGTCAATTACGTTCGTACTTTCCCCTTACAAAAGCATATCTGACATGTAAATTTACGTGACGATGCATCAGTCGTTTCGCATAAACTAATAGTTGCGTACTCGCTTAATAATTACATATCACGAATATGATGTGCCTGAATTTCTATCTCTAAAACCTATCTTTCCTGTTTGTTAAATTTTTATCTACATTTACAGAATTTATTCTTTATATATTTCTCATAAATTGTATATACTGTACTGTATATATTTTTTTCGGTTTTCTGGGAATTAATGTATGATTTATAATTCTAAATTTTTAATATTTTCCGTATCTTTCTATATATGGTCATTTTCTCGTAAGGATTTTTCATTCGATAATAAGAACACAGCGTGACTCGTGAAGTGTCACGTTTATTCGCATTAATAAAGCTAAAGACAGTCGGAACGTGACCGAGCTGAGTAGCTTGGCACGTTTCTACCGAACTGTCGATTGATTATTAAAAGAACAGAATAATATAAGATTAATTAAATGCTCGTATCAGCACCGGATTTCACTTAAAAGAAGTAGATAGTGTGGTTCCATTTTTAAATAGTCACGTGTCATATCCAAAGTGGCATTTTTCACTCATTGAGGAGGATAAGCTTAATGCAGTATTGCCCCCTCGGGCGTGTATAGCGTTGCGTGAAAGAAACGTCCCTGACACGAGTGTCGAATATTGTCACGTCCAACGATTTTCTTAAAGCAGATTGGAAGTTAATATCAGATTTCGTTCAACGTTTCCTTTTGGGAAAAAATTTATTAAAGATGAAGCTAAGCTTTAAAAAAAATTTAGGAAATCGTAACATGTTTATCACGTTTAAACATATATTTTGTTTAATTATTACGAAAAAAAGTGTAATAATAATAATAATTATTTATTTAAACGTGTGTATGTGCAGGTGTAAAAATTTATTTTCGTTCATTGTTCTAACATAATTGCCACTTTTCCAGTTGGCGTGTAAAGGTAAACGACTCTCTACGTAATGATTTAATTACTGAACGTGAAATTTATCATTATTTTAAAGTTTAAAATTATTCTAGCATCGCGTTACAAAGTTCAATAATTCAAGAACTAGTTAATTTTCTCTAATAAGTTTAAATATCGACGGAAATATGTTTACGATTTAGTTGTAAACGATTTACAGGATCAATTTTCATCTGCTTTGTTTCTAGGAATTGATTCGGTTTGTCCCGAAACGCAGTGACATCATATCCTGCTTCGTTTAATACAAAAATATCGTTTTGATATTTATAATTTCTGTTGCTGTGTCGAATTACCAGTTGTCTAGAATATCATTTATAAATACTAGGAGTTTTTTAATTTTATATTTTAACATTATTTTTATCTGGTGGGGTCCTAGCAGCAGCAGCAGCAGCAGCAGCAACCTACTGACCCGACTACAGGGGGTGAGGTCGATCAGCTGTGACTGCTATGTTGACACTGCACAAACTGCCTGCTGTGTTAGGAGCTCACACAGATCGATACTGACGTCTTCTCTCGCCGTTTGTCTGTAAATGCTTGAGTTAAGTCTTATTTTCTCATATGATGGTCCTTAGTGCTGAAAGTTCCCATAATCCGAAGTCTATCGGCTGTTCATCATCAGTAGATCGTTCCAGTGGAAGTTCGGGTCCATCCACACCACATCATGAACATAGTGAACACAGCAGGAGTGAAACAGAACTAAATCCTAATAAAGGACAGACTCTGAAATATGGTGAACTCGTTTTATTAGGGTAAGTTTAATCATTATTTTACTTTTGTTAGTTTTAATAAATAATATATTTACAGAAAAATGCACTTTATTCTGATTTTAAGTTTATAATGATTTAGTTAGGAATAAATTTCACAAATGTATANAATAAATTGTAGCATTTATCTATTAAAATGCAAAGAAAAACTAACTGCTGAAAACTATTATTTCTTCTTCGTGAATTAACTGTTTTAATGTTTATTTAAATCAAATTTTAAAAAATTTCACAAAATTAGATAATCAAACAACTACTATTTAGCAGAAAGTGAAGTTTCAAGAAATTAATAGTTAAAGTTAATTTAAAATAAATTCTTAAAAGAATTTCTTAGAAATTAAGTTTTTATTTACAATTATCAGCATTTAGTTTATGCAGTTCTCAATGTACAGTACTTGTGTATGCTGCAACGAGTAGCCTACTTGTTTATGTTGAATGTAATCAGTTACATTAAACTAAATTATTTTAATCCAAAAATAAAATTAGATACTAAACATTCTGTTTTTATATGTATGAAACTGATTTAAAGTTTCAATCATTCATTTATAGATAATTAGTAGCCTGGAACGCCCCCTAGTGGGCGTTATTTACAAATTTCCATGAGGCACGGTTCCTTTGACTTTTTTGTTCCTATCAATACGCTGTACAGCTCTGTTAAAGTCCCAATGGTAAGATTTACCCTCCGAATGAAGAGGTGGCGACCCCCCCAAACTGTAGTCCCTGTGCGAACAATAAAGTCAAAGGAACCATACCCCTACTCGCGACCCTTCGCAAGATATAAGCCCCTGAAATAATAAATTCCTATTACAAATATACTGAATTATTTANAAATGAACACAAAAAATGATGATAACAAAATATTCTCATTAGCTGTTGCTGTTTTGATGAAGCCTAAAAGAACTCTCTATACAAAAACTATAATGTCTATATGTTTCAATTAGACATACTAAAAAATCCTTTTTAAGTCATCATCAAATAATAATATATTTAATTACAATGTATAGGATTAAATAAAATTACATGCTGTCTTATTCAATTTTTATGATTATTTTATGAAGTTGCTAAAAATAACCATGGAGGCAGCCATATTCCTTCATTAGAGTTTACTATAACCCAATGAGTTCAATACCTATTATTTGCTGCACCAGTGAACTCACCAGTGAATATCAGACACATTTTTTGTACATCGCAGTTCACCAATGTACTGTTTGACGGCATACTGTAATATACCCATTGTATGTCATAGGTGCACCCATTTTTTCCAAATATACACTATTATCAAGTTAATATCATTAATCACACTTTCTCATCAGAAAACTAAGAATGATGTCAAATTGCTGTAATAATGTACACTATTCAGACAAAATGAATGCACCACACATTGTTAAACACCGAGAATGTAATGGTGTCACTACAAATTGACGTGGTTTTTCAGAGCCTTAAAATTAATTTTGCTTGTTAATATAGCCACTTTAATTATTTGGACCTTTGTAAACTATATATTCTAGAGCAGATGGATTGTCCTGAAATACCTGAATTTTATAGGAGAAAATTTATATCTTATGAATAATCCTCTACACTGTAGACTCTGAAATTCTAGTTTCTATAGACGTTTTGCAAATCAACTTCTGTTGACTTTGAAAGATTTTCTGCTGGATAAAGTGAATTGTCTGTAATACTTTTAGGCCTAAGACATTTTATATTTACTATGATCCTTTTTCTCAGAACTTCTTATCAAGCTTTCTAATTGCATCATTGGACAGAACCCATTGCATCCATATTCTGCATGAAAGTGGGATTAGTTGTAATGTAATTTTTGCTTTCTATAAACCACACAATATTAATGCACTACTCCAATAATAATGCATTACCATTTTCATGAATGACAGTGTTGCGATCAATTTATGAGTAAACTGAATTTGTTCAAAGTTAAAAAATTGGGTACAATTAAAGCTGTGTAGTAATATCAAAATCTTTTTTTTTTGGTAGGATCCCTGTATACTGTATATCATATATTACAATATATATAAGTATCTCATAAATTATTTCAAATTTTTTAAAGAATGATTCACCATATCATACACCATAATAAATTGTAGCATTTATCTATTAAAATGCAAAGAAAAACTAACTGCTGAAAACTATTATTTCTTCTTCGTGAATTAACTGTTTTAATGTTTATTTAAATCAAATTTTAAAAAATTTCACAAAATTAGATAATCAAACAACTACTATTTAGCAGAGAGTGAAGTTTCAAGAAATTAATAGTTAAAGTTAATTTAAAATAAATTCTTAAAAGAATTTCTTAGAAATTAAGTTTTTATTTACAATTATCAGCATTTAGTTTATGCAGTTCTCAATGTACAGTACTTGTGTATGCTGCAACGAGTAGCCTACTTGTTTATGTTGAATGTAATCAGTTACATTAAACTAAATTATTTTAATCCAAAAATAAAATTAGATACTAAACATTCTGTTTTTATATGTATGAAACTGATTTAAAGTTTCAATCATTCATTTATAGATAATTAGTAGCCTGGAACGCCCCCTAGTGGGCGTTATTTACAAATTTCCATGAGGCACGGTTCCTTTGACTTTTTTGTTCCTATCAATATGCTGTACAGCTCTGTTAAAGTCCCAATGGTAAGATTTACCCTCCGAATGAAGAGGTGGCGACCCCCCCAAACTGTAGTCCCTGTGCGAACAATAAAGTCAAAGGAACCATACCCCTACTCGCGACCCTTCGCAAGATATAAGCCCCTGAAATAATAAATTCCTATTACAAATATACTGAATTATTTACATTGTTATATTGACCAAATAATTTATGGGCCAAATGAATAATAATAATTTATATTGTTAATTTAAATAATAATTAAAATTGTTAATTTGAATGTTTCAAATATGACACGATAGGGGCACCTCTAGTGTCCGTTATCAAACGGTTACGCGGACAGACACCCGTTGAATGGGTTATATATGTAGATATGATTGTTAAAGCAAGTTCAAAGTTACAAATTGTAAATGACAAAAAAAATTAATTCACTTTCTTATTTTTAGAAAAGTCTGTGAAGAAATTTTTATTATTTGCTCTTTGGACACTAGGCCCCTTTTCTTCCATACTGCAAAGTTAGACAAGGCCAACAATAAAGGCAACTAAGTGGTTGAAGGACTGGACTGAACATATTTGGTTTAGATCGTGTTGCCACCTTTTCAAAATTGCTGACCTGGAGGGCAGGTCAGGTTTGTTCGAACAGAAATTCCTGACGCATGCGCAATGTCATTTTATAATGCGAACAATAACGTGGTAGATAACTTAGCTCGTAGACGTGTACGATCGTACAGTACAAGCAAAAACAAAAGTTCGACAGGTTGCGCGCCACACGTAAACAGACGAACATGGCAAAATTGCAGATGAGTTTCAGTGAGTGTGAGTTCTTTTGCTGTTAATAGTGTAAATTTGTAAAAATAAAACTTTGTTTCATCGTAATTTCACAATTTCTACGAAATTCCCAAACAAAATTAATAGTTCACCCGGACAGTTAGTCAATTCCCGGACTGTCCGGATGAAAACCGGATGGGTGGTAACACTAGGTTTAGACCTCCCATGAAAAATTCGTGAGGAGTTGCTTGCTATGATTCGACTATGGATTCTCCAGAGCGGCAGACTGACGCCTTAACGTTAATGCCTTCGTCATCCACGGTCAAATGATAATTTAGTACTATTCAGAAATAAATGAAATCATGATATAGCTAATAAAGATTTTTTTTACCATCTTGAAATGTTAAATTTAATTGTCTTGACTTTTTACACGCTAAGAAAATTATTAATAAAGTGCTTTTCGTAAACTTTTCAAAAAAGTGTTTTTAAAATCTTTAGTTTTAATTAATTACAGTCATACCCCGACTTACGCGAACCCGGAGTTACGCGATTTTCAAATCTCGTCGATTCGTCTTTTGTTTGAGCGCCACGCAACTCTTGATTANCTTTTTAAATTCTCCTATGGTGTAGAAGTTTTTACTAGATTAATGCTATTTCTTAATGATTATACAGTACTTTACTCTTGTTTTTATTTCTCTATTGTTTTAGCTTATCTTTATTTCTTTCTAGTTTTAATAAGTTAACAAAATGAAATCTAATTGATATAACTTTTAATAATTGTCAATTGAAAATAATAATTTTATAAATGTTTAGATCAAGATAAAATTCTGGAAAATTACTTTTGATAAGGACTATATATAACTACGTGAGCTCCTATTTTATACTAAGAATCATATTTCAAATTTTTTTTTTTTTCAAATAACAGAAGTTTTATAGATCATGAATTTCTTTTTATGCTTTCTCATCCATAACCAGAGAGAAATCAAGGTTGACAAATGGAAGGATAATTATTATTATTTTTTCTTTTTCTAAATAAAGCATATAAAGTATTAATAAATCATGATGTGTTTGATGCACAATTGTTTTTTTTTTTTTTTTACTTAAGCATTAAACACAACTATCATTTTATTGAAGAATTTGTGTGAAACTTGGTATCATATTCAAAATTCCATCATTTTAATGATTCTTATATCTCAAACTTTGTTGTTCTAATTATTTCTATCAATAAATACATACTTATCTAACTGATAAGTAGTACTCATAATTAATTTTAAAATATAACTTAGATAATTCTTCAATAATCACTATATAAATTAATCTAATTATGTTTCTGTATAATGTAGTTGTTTTTATGTAATAAATTCTGTTTTTAAATGGATACAAATTTTTTCTTGAATGAATTATTCGTATTTTATAGTTTTAGCTATATTTCTGATGTTTTATATTTCATGTATTATCTAATTTTATATTATTCGTTATACAATTGTAACTCTTGGCCTAAATATGTCGTCATTATTTTTTTTTTTAGTTTGAAGCCATGTTCAAAAGTTATTTAAAAAATGTAATAATAATATTTTGTTGTCACTTTTTATATTGCGCTTAAAAT